TGTTATGGCCTATTTAGAGCATTGTGGCATTAAATTTGATGATATTAACAAAATTATATTTCACCAAAGCATATGTAAATATGTAGAGTGAATGTATGTATACATACATATGTATGTATATTACTAAGCCATAAGGTATGATTTTTAAAGGGAAATACGCCAACAGCAGAGCACCTAAGCATATTTTCGAACTAGGCAAGCCTTGTTCCGCGGGCATTAGTGCAGGTCGTCTGGTCGAATCAAAAAAAAAAAAAAAAAAAAAATTAGGAGTATTTTTTTCGATATGGAAAAATCCAACGGGGTGAGAGCAATAAAATTCCCACTTTACTTGTTTTGTATATATAAGCAAATCCGAAAAAAAGGAAATGAAGCCAAAACTTAAAATGTCTTGAAGCGAGTATTGGATTTTGTCACAGCTTTATTTCTATTATCTATTAATATGCTGTCCCTTGACTCTACGCTACTATACAGCTTCTCTGCGAGTCTGCTCACTGCCAAATTTCCGAACTGTTTTCTATGAAATTGTTGAAAACATTAATGTACGTACGCCCCTATACAAATTTTTTGGCCGCTGAACATCTTCTCGCATGCCATTTCCAAACCTCCAAGGACGCTGCGGGAAATTATGTCGTAATATATATATTTTTTTTATGAACGAGCAGTAGGCTAAAGATAATTATTTACATATGTGCGCATACGAATTTTAATAAATTATTGCCGCATGAAATAAGTGCAAGTGTGAGTGAGTCATTTTGTGTGCGTATGTGCGCGTGAATTTCATACATGGCCGCGCACCGCATACAAACGCACCAGTTGTCGCTGTGGCTGTAACCAATACTGTGCTTCCGGTTGCTTGCTCGCTGCTATGTACATATATATCATTATCATTTCACACATTCATCCCTGCTGAAAAAAATTATCAATACATAAAAAATAACCCAATTGTAGTTAGCCTTTTTGCGGGATTTCTATAAAATATATAACTTGTAGTTAGCTACAAAAAACAAGTCGACAAATAATGCAGAGGACCGTTTTCTTTAAACGCATTTCTATTTAAATTCCCTGCACTTCGCAAATACTTTTTCGAATTAAGGACAAATAAAAGGAAGATCGAAATTTCATATTATCGTTTTGAAGTTATGTCTGACGGAGTTCGAATATGGGACCACCTACAGCAGAATGTGTAAACAAATATGAAATGTGATAAAAAAAATAAAAATAAAAAATATATATATTTTGTTTTTGTTTTGATATTTTATGCCCAAAAGTAGTTTGTTACAAGTTAGTTACATCAAATGTAGAGGTAACCATCTTTGACTACATCAAATGCACTGACTATTTCGAGGCCATCGCCATAGAAATATAGTAAGCTTTCGTCAAAGAAAACATACAGATAATAGTGACTTTTAGCCCTTTCGCAATCAACTTAAAGTTAGCTTATAGTTAGATGCATTTCCTGCAGGGATATGTATGTACGTACAAATCCTTATGTATTTACGGGTACGGATGCAATTATATGAATGCGAACAAGTGTCTGTTTGCCTGTCTGTTTGTCGACCGAATGAAACAGAGCAGAAAATTATGTAATGAAAAATATGTGTAGCAGTGCGCTTATGAAGCCACGCAAATTAAATGAGCGCGCGATGGGGGGCGGGGGGCAGGTAGTTGCTCGCAAGCTACCGTGACTGAGCGCATTGCCCTCTTGGGCACGCGCATAGGCGCATTGGGATTTTTAATTCATGGCTTAAGTGCGTAAAATTATTTTACCGCCACTTAATAAAGCCAAAGTGCTCAAAATTTGATTCGAACGTTTTTTGGACGCACTTTTTATTAGCATTTGGGTGTAGTTTATTTTATGACCTCATACCTTATTTCTGATGGCGGCTGTGCGCATATTTTGGATTTTTGCGCATAAATTGTGGATCCTTGGGGATCCTTGCACAAAATTGCTTTTAAAAATATAAAGATGAGGAACGGCAGCAAATGCCTAAAGTTCCTTGAGCCTTTTTTACACTGAGAGAAATTCTATTTCTGCGACACAAAAAAAAACGATGTTGGAAACATGAAAGGCGATTGGCCGGCTGGTTCTATATTACGGATATGCCGTAGCTTTAAGGTCGTTTGGGATTAGTAGGACGAAGATACGGATCTATCAGAACAATGCACTTAGGGCTCCCAGGATATGCCCTCTGATGTCGGTTGACTACACTGTAAATGAGATTCAAAAACTATCTGTTAAAGAGCACAACATCATCATGAGAAGGCAACTTTCTTGAATCTATCTACTGAACTGGGCGGACTATTAACAGCCCGTTATTAAGGCGTTTAAATAAGTGCATAATATCAATGACAACCCTAAGTGGACTAACTGATTTTGGATGGGTATAGTATTGAGGAAGAGAAATTTGGAGAAAAAACTAGGCTACTGTGAACTAACTGTAGGCAACTTTATTATAAGTTAGTTTTTACTGCAGTTAAGATGGTGGTAACGCTTGTATGAAACTAAATGAAAAAATATTCAATAAAATTTTCGACTACATCCTTCAGTAAACAAATAAAAGAGTCTTCGTTGAGGACTACAAACAATTAAAATGATGCGATAAGCAAACTTGTAGTACTTATGCAATTACTTAGTTCGTCGACAGTAAATACACATATGTTTTTTTTACCACATTTTTTCCATAAAGTATATACATGTATGTATGTAGTATGTATAATGAATGCAATGAGTTCGAAATTAAATGCTTCAATTGTTTTATACAACTAAGTACTTCCTAAACTTTAAATATCTAATATTACTCGTACATATATATATATAATTACAATTATAATTCTATTACTCAGACAATTACTGCTAGAAAATGCGTTGTTTTCAAGTTTTATTGTTCTAATAGATACCTCACTCAACACAATCGCTCAATCAATTAGTTGCACAATCACACAGTCGCATTCATTATTTTCCATTTCAATTATCCTTTTATTTTTACATTTGCAAATTTGCATACCATTTAAATTTAATTTTGTTACAGTTCGATTTTTTTTGCACAACAGACACATAGCTACACTTGCATGCATGTATGTATGTATACCTATGTAGGTATTTAGGTAAATGGTATCAGAATAGCTGAGAGGATAAATAAAATGCAAAATCGAACATAAAGCGCAAAATTGAAATCGAACTAAAGGTCTCAGTGGCTATTACATAGATGTCGAAGCAAATCAGTCCATTGCAGCTCAATGCAACTCAATCACACTAATTCAATATTGAAATATTTATGTAGGGCAATCAGACTTGCAGCACGGCTCGTTGAGTGGATGTGTTTATACCCTGCAGTTAAAAGCCAAACCAGTCGGTAAAAATACCAGTTCATTAACTAGTATGTAGTATGAAGTAGTTTAACGATTTCGAGCAACTTAAGTTTGCGTTCAGCAACATCCGCCTTTGAACTGGCGTTTCTTCAAAAATATCGGCTGTGACGTTCTGATTCCGAGATCGCAGGTTCGAATCCTCTTGGAAGTGGTTAAGATTTTTAAGATTAAATAAATATAAGTCAAATTAATTAAATATTTCAATTTAAATATGAATCACAAATTTGAAAATCTAATTTCATTTGAGAAAAAAACGTCGGTAAATAAATGCATGCACCATAAAAATTAAATTTATTAAAAAAAATTTATTTTTCATTTTAAACAATTAAATTAAAATATTTCAATAAAAACCCTAAATTGAAAAAGAAACCATAAAATAGTAAAAATAATTCCGCTGCGCATGGACTTAAATCAACGACCTCAGGAATGGCAACTGCTTCAATGCAACTAGTATTTCTACCAGTAAGTGCTGATGCAGGAGTGGACAGTTAACATCTCGTAGGACCAGGCAATGCTACTACCAGTCGCCCACATTGAATTAGGGAGAGAACGCGAACTAGTTGGGCAGAAACACAAACTGGTAACATTCTAGTTCACAACCAGTAGCTTTCGCTGCAGGGTAGTTAGGTTTGTACATTAGACCGCATCACTACCCATAAACAAAAGATCGGTGCTATTTTTCCATCGGAATCATAAAGTAGAGATATTATATTTTAAGACTTGCACAAAAATATTTAGAAAAAATATTAGGATTTACGTCAGCTGGACCGATTTAAAAATACCTGCAAAAATTAAGTTTTTTTATGAACAAAAATATTTAGTTTATTGTGTTTTTTTTTTTTGAAAAAGATCGCCTCAAATTACAAAGCAGTTTAGGTTTAAAAAATTTTCACCAAACTATTAAAAAAATTTCAACAGAATCGTAATAATGAAATTGTTGATGCTGTTTTTGAACTTTTTCAAAGATTGTTCTAAGAAGAACTTAAAATAATTCGGCGAAAACTTTACTGATTTAGACTTAGAAGGTATCATTTGGAAGATATTTTTTCACCCGTTTTGTTTCTTTGCAAACATTTTAATTCAAAGTACGATAAGATAAAGATTGATAATTGTGTAATATTTTTAGGCAGTTTTTTAAGTCAAAACTGTTTTTGCGTCCTGGGGATTCTTGACAAAAACCCCTTAAGAAATTATGTTTATTCACAAAAAGTTATGTAAATTCTTGGAGGTTTTTTTTTCAAATCGCTTCAGCTTAAGTAAATTTTGCTATTTTTTCGAAATATTTTGGTGAAAGTCTTCAAATATAATAAATTTTGTAATTCCGATGGTAAACTCGCAACTTTTTTTTTAGTGGTGATACAGTCTAATGTATGCATGACTGTGTTCGTTCACTTATACTTATGTGTATGTATTGTGTTGCTGTATTGTTGCACTTTTTGTCAGTTGTGGCATGTCCCTTTCATACAACTATATGTGTGTACGTTTGCTTTTGCAGAGAGTCTGTGTTGTTTTACGAAAATAAGGAGGAACAAATATTTATGTATATACAATTACAATTACAACTACAATTACTCTATGTGTAAAATCGCAGTCATTCCATGTTTTCTATGTCATTGTTTGCGTTCTCATTCCGCCCTCTCCCTCACTTGTGTTCAATTTCGCAATCACCTGGGTAACGAAGTGCCACCACTCCATCGCCGCCAATGCCACCAACACCAACAAAAGTCCTCTAGTGGCTGTCGCAATCGATGTCGCTGCTGTTGTTGATGCTGCCATTGACCGCATTGCAGTGCCCATTGGGAGAGCAGCCAGCCCATCGCCACGATGCACCAATTCGTTGTAGCCGCGGCGAGCAGCACTCGGTCGAGTAGGCGTCGTAGAAGCACCAAGGGCCACGCTGTGTGTGGCTCCAGCTCATTGGTGGCCGGCGGCAGAAGCTGTTCACTTGAGCGTGCCACTGCCGCTGTTGTTGTCGCTGTGGTGACGCTTGCGGCCAGTGTGGTGAGCGTGCGTTGGGCTATTCGATAGAGCATGCCGTGCAGCGTGCTGGAAAGGCGATTGGCGCTGCTGTTGCCATGTTGCATGGCAGCCGGATGTTCACCATTGATGACGTGCACCACCACCGAAGCAGAGTCTGTGTAAAGAGAAGAGAAGAAAGTGACATGGATTAGAAGTGGTAGCGGCACAGGTACTAAATAGAAACGCAAATAGTTAAATTGATTGTTGGACATACAAATTTCAATGGGAAAAGGATAAATGAGAAGAAATGGTAGCTGGTACTCGTGACTCCTTAGCCCGCTATATACTTTAATTACTTAGAATGAAGTGAGAAGGAAGGTCTGAAATTTTCAATCCAAAGTTTGATTATTATTAAAGTAAAAGATGAATCAATATGCCTGCAGTGTGGTACTCGCATTAGGACATTTGATATTGCCATTTACAATCAGTTGTTATGCTTTAAAATTTGTTTCTACTTTGTAGTCCATTTCTTTCAGCACTAGTATGAAATTAAATAAAAAGTGCATGAAGCTGCAACGAAATCGTTGTCTACCACTAAAGAGCTCGTGGGGAAAAAAGTTGGAGCAGAATCCTAAAATAACTTTCTGGGTCAATAAGTACTCAGACGGTCAAACCCATAATAGTGTATGGAGCCCTTGTATGTTGGAAAAAGACCACTCAAACAACAGCCATTAAAAAAGAATGTGCCAGATCCAACGACTCTCTAAATATAACGGAGGCAACGAAAACTGCAGGTATGGAAGCCCTAATCAATTTTATACCACTTCATCTGGCAAGGAGGTGGCAGCAACGAAAAATATCAAACAATGCAACATTGCCGTATACGTTGAAATCTCAAAGGGAAAGGACGTAACTATACCCAAAACCTTGTACTCAAACCAAACTGATCCTATCTTCAGCTTAACGAAGAGGTACAAGATCATATTTCCTGCTCGTGAAAATTTTAGCAGAAGTGAGGACTGCACCCTGATTCACAAAAACCGTACACCGATGGCTCAAGAACACCTTACGGTGTGGGTGCGGGTGTTGTGAGACCGCGGCTCTGCACATATTTTCCCTTAAGTAAAGATGCAACGTTATTTCAGGTGAAACTAGCTGCCATACCGGAGACCACGCACGTGTTATTAAACAGGCCAGAACTAAAATCTCTATACTTTTGGGCAGCCAATCTATCCCCAAAGCTCTAGGTAGCTACTGGTTCTCATCAAAAACCCTTAAAGAGTGCCATAGAGGGTCTCCTAATCTAAGTGCTATTTCATGAGGGATATGATGGAAATTGGGGAAGGTTAGAGGGTACACCACCGCTCAAAAAAGTTCTGCGCTCATGCAACAAAGAAAAAACCTAAAAACCCCATGTGGAGCACTAACAAGCCACTATACATACGTGCAATAAACATATGCACATACTTGGCCTCTGGGGTAAAGATATATTAGCAGGTTCTGTAGTGAAGAAAAGGAATCAATGAAACACATACATATATACCACCTGCCCAACACTAGCTCATCACATAGCCAGATTTTTAAACGACTATAAGCTCAGCGACATTGAGCCAATGCAGATTTCGCAGCAGGGGTTAATACAAATAGTCTGTATACTAAACAACTAAAGTGAAAATAGCGGCACAATAGTTCAAATCTGGTCGCGGTGTAATTGAATTGTAGACCCTTAAATGATGGTCAATTTTAGCTACGCTAGGGATGAAGGCGACCTCAATTAGCCTCCACCTGTAGCCCTTATGCCCTATCCCTAATCTATCGAGCGAGAGGAGAATGCGAAACGTCACATGCTTTCCAGCGCAATTCGTCTGCAAAATAACTTAAATAGACTCAATTTTTATCTGCGTAAAGTAAACCATTTGAGATTTGATCCCTCCTTACCCTTTGGTCATTTCTAAGGACTTTCAACAGGCTAACTGTTTGACTGAACTACTCTGCTCCTGACTGTATTCCTTTATAACTGCGCCGTCTAAATTAAAAGTTATGAAAGAGGTTCACCGCAATTGTTGTTTGGCAACTTCAAGCCGATGTCGATCACTGCCCATACACACATACACATGTTTTGTGCTCCATCAATCCCAGCGCATACCCAAATGTCCTGCAAAAAAAAAAAAAATGCTCAAATTGAAGATTTTGTCACTCGAACGCTGCGTTGAAGTGCGCAATGCGAATTAAACTTGTCAAAAATAAAAAATAAAAAGTTTTCGAATTCAATTATGCCATGAAGAATTTACGACATGCTGGACACACGCAGGGAATTGAAGGACAAGCCAGAAGCAGCAAAAAGTATAAAGTTAAAATAAAAGAAGCAGAATTAATGAAGACCGTAAAAAATGCGACACAGCTGAACATATCCATTGCGGCTGCCTGCAGCTTGGAGCAATATAAAGGAATGCCAGGAGAGAGTAACCGCAACGCACTACAACAACAAACATAACAACTCTACTAGCCAACAAAAATTCCCTCGCGCTCGGCAAGCATAATTCAATTTGTTAAGCCATTTGTGACGCCTCAGCATCAATAACAACAAAAGAAGAAGAAGAAGAGGAGGAGGAAGAAGAATGGTTGGAGAAAGTAACAAGTGAGAAAAAATGTAAGTAAATAAGTAAAATTATTACATTTTATCGCACAAGGCATTCCCCCCAAGAGTGAGGATGGCCAAAGTGACAGCCGTAGTGTTGATACATGACAAGCGAAGGTCAGCAAAGAAAAAAATAAAACGCAAAAAAATTAAGAATTAATCAAGTACAGAGGAATACCTTTTTGGTAGCAAGTTTGTGTGTACATATAAAAGCGGACTAAAGCGAATTAAGGCCTATACAAACTTTTTAATGGAGCAAAATGAAAAATCTCGTTTCATAAATGCACAGTACAGCTGAGAGGCATATTTGATAGCTGTGTATGCATGTATGTATGTGTGTGCACCTATGTATGTATGTATGTAAGTATGGGTGCCTGAGACGAACATGAAATATAAAATGCTGGAATATTACAAATTCTAAAAGATATGAACCGAAGAAAAACAATTTCGCAAAGTTGACCTTCAATCGACCGCGTGCGTCTTCCAACGCGACAGTAGTTTTGAGGCTACCATGTCCGACAGGACAG